CTTCGACGTTTGCTGAAGGATCTTTGGTGTGAGTGTTGTTTTCTTGAAGTATCGTTGTCTCTGAATGAATTACAAAACGAGTTCTTCAGCGATCACTGAACAAGCTCAGTGTATTGATCGCTGGAACCGAAAGTACAGAAACACAAAAATACATCGAAAGGAAAAAGGGATTATCATCAAATCACTGAGAGAGAGGATCAACAGAATCACATATGAACTAATTAACTTATTCACATATGAACCTATTGGTTCATGATAATCCCAATATCAATCAGGTAACAATGAATTAAACAATCAAGAACAATAATCTTGAGATCAAATCATCATACATATTGATAAACTCTCTCAATACATGTTTCTCTCTTTAACTTCTATCTCTAGAATGTATTAAAATGAGTAGCACATTCTAGACCTCTACACAAACTACCATTACAATCTATTTATACAAATTGACTGAACATACAAGTCAAATTACAAAGAAAACAATAATCTAAGCTCCATGTGACTAAGATTGACCATGTTGACTTTAGACTTTGATCTCTTCAGTGTATAAGCTCGATGATCTCGAATATAATAATATTTGACCTAACAATCTCCTCTTTTGTATTCGAGATCACATTCTTCAAAAACAAATCCCTTTGTCTTCACTTCAAAAGACCTTTGACATAAACAATCTCCCCCAATAAAGATGATCAGACTTTTTCAACCTTCAAATAAGATGAATTTGAAAAATGACAATATCCCCTTTTAATAAATATATTCTTCAAATCAAAATCTTCACTCTAATACAATCTTTAAAATCATTCAGAAACTTTCTCTTTTGAGGTCATCAACAGTCAACGAATCTTCAAGTAAACCTCTTGAATCGACAAATAAGCTTTAGACATTCAGGCTTGAACTTTGACACTACATGTACTAAGCGTATCACCTTTATATCATAAAAGAAACCAACTTTAACAAACGAAGTCTTCAAAAACTTTGCCTTGTAATCCCAACGAATCTTTAGCGGATATGTCAATGATAAATCTCAACGAGTCAGCACAAATTCTTCAAATCAGCACCAACCTTTTCATCAACATCTAAAATCTTTAACCTTATGGCTTTTCAACC